GTTTCTCCTACATACTTGGAAGGCAAGTTATATTCAGTTGGTTGCTATCTGCAATTTCACAGCTAGATGCCACTAAATCCTACACACTGGTCCTCTAAACACTGTTTCAATCTGCACAACAGCAAGAGCTCCAAATGGAGTTTGAAATCATTAAAGAAAAGAAAAAAAAAAAGTCAAAGCAAAGCAGGTATAATGTTTACCATGTTTATCTAAATGTTACATTTTGCTAATTAGCACTAAAGTACTTAAGTACTGGACAGTTTCTTATTAAAATGATGTGAAATATGGTCTTTTTGCTTCCATTCTTTAGTCAACACCAGTTCACCTACCTGGTGTGTCCTTAACATGCGCCACAGGGTCCACAATTCTGTACGTCTACATGGTCTCACACAGTGAATGAGCCATCATAACAGAAACTGATATATCTGCACTTTTATATTTGCACAAGCTCTGCAGAGAAACACAGCGAGAGACACTCTCTGGAGTAGATACAGTGGATATTTTACATGCACAGATCAAGTAAAGCAAAAGCGAACAGCAGAAAACACATCGGCAGGTTCCGATGTCATTCATTCCCACATTTGTTTTAATAATTTGATAGGGCATGTCAGTAAAAACAAGCCTCCTCTACACCTAACCTGCTGTCGTGACAACAGAAATGCGTATGAAAAAATTCCAACCACGAGTTGTACTTTTTGAGTGACTTTATAAAACTTACTGCTGAAGAAAGTTAAAAGAGAAGCTAGAGAGCTAGCTAGAGAAACAGAAAGAGGTGGGGTTGGGCAAGCTGGTGTGTGTGTGTAAGAGACACAGACCAGAGTGCTGAAGGGAACAGCATGGTGAGCAGATTATAGTTTGTGAGATAAGCAGTGAACAATAAGAAGACAATCTATTAGAAAAAGGGCCACTGTTATGTTTTGTAAAGTTCAAATGTTTTTTAATAAAAGGAGTGTTTGAAGTACATGAGATTTATTGTTTTGATTTTGTTTCTTACCTGGTATTGAATCGTTATCGTGTTATGCTCGATGAATGCACTGAGTGGGGGGGCTGGGGGCTCTAGTAGTCAGCTCACGCTTTAAGCACAGACAGGCCTTACATTGTAAGTGCTGCAGGGCCCTGGGGCCCTAGTGGTGCTTTAGAAGGGACAAGGGCCAACTGAAATATATTCTTAAGAGTGACAATAATTGATCTATATATGTTGTCAACCTTGTATTAAAAAAAAATTACATTAAATACAGCAGTTATAGATACTTCAAAAGGAGGGGTTACAAATGCATAAAAACACTTCAAACTTCCTTATTTTCATCTACATATGTGCTAAAAAGCAATTACTTATTATTCATTCACTGCTTATGAATTTTGAATAGAGGAAGTAAACTGAAGAGAAAGAAGGCAAGACTAGAAGGAGACAGAAAAGTCAAGAGAGCTTTAATACATTTATTACAGAGGGGGAGGGTTTACATGAATACTTTAATAAAGTGAGGATATTAACTCAGTGAACGAGCAGACACACAACAGTGATTGAGTGAGCTGTAACTTAACCTTCTGTAAAAAGGCCGGTGCTGTGTAACACAGCTTACCGAGGGGTGGGTGGATTCTTATATCCCCTGATACCACTGTGGAATGGAACAAAACAACAGCAAGCAGGCGGAGACAGTTCAGACAGGAAGGAGCAGCAGACAGGAAGTGAGAGAGCAGCTACAGTGTAGTCATGTCGTTGAGGGCCAGGTCCAGCTCCTCACTGAGAGCCTTGCCCTTCAGCTTCTGAGCATACACTTCATCTGGAGGAGGACACACACACACCCAGTAAGGGGGACGAGGGACAAAGCATAGAATGGAAACGGAGTGAGGTGACATCGAAAGGTACAACAAAGAGAAAATGGAAACATCACTGAAACCGGCAACCCTCAAACTGAATGACCAAGAACCACTGGTGTTAGTGTCATCAGCTAGTAGCTACAGCTCACCAAACATGACTAAGCAACAAAGTTTCAACTTGAAGCTATAGACTGGGTTCAGATACACACACACTGAACACATCATGCAGTGTTATCAAGGAATACTTCACTCAACACCACCATATACAACACATGCCAGAGATTTATGAATTATTGGTGCATTTAGGTAACCCATTGGAAGTCATGTTAGAAGTCCACACCTGGAAACACCCATGTACAGCTTGTGTTTTCATAAGTCTCTGACATGCAGACTTGGTCCAAGTCTCAAGCAAGTCCCAAGTTATTTTTTCATGGACAAGCCAGGTCAAGTCACTTTTTTCCCCCACAAGAGTGATTATTTTTAGGGAGATGGCAGCTGTTAAAATATATATATTAAATAATTTAATTAATATCATAAAATCTTTAGTGGGGTACAGCCCTACAAATTACCTAACCCTAATAATTCTGTTCTTTATTCAACTGATAACAACTAATTAATGCAGCGTTACATTAAGCGTGAAAATTAAAAAATGCTGACAGTGAGTCCAGTCCACATATCTGCTGAAATGGATGTCTCAAGAAAGTCAGTAGCACAAGTGAACAAGTATTCATTTCTGCTTGTAAAAGTACAGAAGTATCTAAAGCACACATACTCATTCCGCAGAATGAGTGTCAGAGTGTTATTTTTAACTTGTCAACTGCCAATTCAACTGAGCTGACACAGTGGAAGAAGTATTCAGATCATTTACTTAACAAAAGTTTAAAAAAATAATAATCATAAAGTATATTGTATACTCAATTATAGGTTAAAATTGAATCAAGTAAAAGTATGAGGAGCATATTATAGTTCAAAACTACTCATGCAGACAGAAAGACACCACTCATAGTAGTATAATATTATATATTTGTGTTCTTATCAATGATACATTAACATGTGAGAAGCATTTTACTGTTAATGCAGACAGAACTATTTAACCTACCGTTGGGTAGTTTTATCTGCAGCCATATATTTATAATTGATCATATGTTTTGCATGTAAAATATTGTAAATTTAAAAAATTACAATACTGTAGCTGCTATGTTTTCCTATTTATGATCTTCTAAAGTCTAATGGTGCAGGCTAAACACAAATAACTTAAGCAGTGTTTCATGCTAACTCCAGTACAGTCTCTCAGAGTGCTGTGATTGTAGTGTAGTCTGCTTACACATGCCCCCTGCTGGCTGTTGGCCATTTGGGTGTTTGCTGGATGATCCAGGGATCTGGAAGCTGATGTTTATCTGCACTTTAAATGTTTTTATGCTTTTTATTTTCTTAATCTTCTCTCAGTTCTTATTTTTCTCTGAAATGTAATATACAAATAAAGTTGTTCACGTAGCTGCTGGTTTGATCAAACCTGTACAGATGGCATGTGCAGTCCATGTGTACAAATGGTGGGCTAATGTCCACAAAACATCCATGTACAGCCTCACAGTCATGGGCCAAAACAATGTTTACATCATATGGATCATATGCAAATACCCAATGTGGTATAAACACAGCTGCATGCATGTATATAGTGCATTATGTGGGGTCTTCTACTAAACATATTTGCATTTCCTTTCCACAATTGGGAACTTTTTCATGTCAACTTCCTTTCATTGTCAGCTTAGCCTATAGTTTTTGTACAACTAAAGTATGATGATACATCGGTGGTGTCAATATATATATATAAGCCATCAATCCTCTGGATGTCCTCAGTCCCTAGTTTGTGGTTATACAGTTTCATGCGGCTGTGATTATCCTGAGGTCACAGAAGTTCATTTTATATATAAAAAAAAATGCTCTCACTACAATGACAAGGCTACTATGAGAACTGACATCATCACCCATCAATACAATTGTGCTCATTGAATCCACAAACGTCTCAGCTTTCCAGTCATACCCAATTTATGCAATGCCAATGCTGTTTATGGACCCCAGTATGTAGAAATACTCAAATACATACATTTATACTGCATGCAAAATCTGCATGCTATTAGCATAAAGTGGGCCTGTCTGTCTCATGTTTCGTGGGTACCAATAAAACACATTTTCATTTAGATATCTTGAGGTCAGAGGTCAAGCGACCACTTTAAAAATAGTCATGCAAGTTTTTCCATCGCCAAAAATTTAAATGGTACTTGTATAGCGCCTTTCTAGTCTCCCGACCACT